CTGAACCTTCACCTTTGCTGGGGTCTGGATGTGCAGGACCAGCTAGTTGGTGTGGATTTCTCCCTGCACTGGTCAAGCTTGCAATGCTGAAAGATGCAAAGGATGATGTATCACACAGCATGGGGGACTTGTGGCCACGTCAAGAGCTGTTTAGATCCCTCCCTCCACCACTTACTTCGAGTGGAACAGACATCCTTCCCATGAAGTATTATCCAATAGGATTTGAACCCAAAACCAGGCATAAAGATGCTTCAATCAGCTCACCAGCCCTATGCTGGATGGTGTTCAAGTTGTGCCCACCCACCCCAATCAAGAGACCACAGCTGTTATCTCCAGGAATTTACCACCCCAGTTTACATCTTTGATTTTGAAATTATCTTTCCATAGAGAAGCAGGAGGACTCCTCAGAGGTGGATGCATCTCAGCTCAGAGTTCCTGCACCATACTCTCTGCTCCACCTGCTGCAAACACACACTATACCAAATGGAGTGACTACAGGCTGTTCTTTACCCTGCCCTCAGCCCCCAGGCCACAATCTTCCTCTCTACAGCGCAGCCATATGTAGGCAATCCCCACAAAAAAGCAAATCTGGGAAATCTGCCTCTTGTTATAAAGCAAACCTCATTGCCTCAGAGAGCCCCAGACCTTTTGCTGCAATTTCAGGTGGGAGCTGAGGGTTCTTGTGCCATCAGGTCTTGCAGAGGACTCCATCCCTCAGTGCAGGCAATGTTAGGGGTACTCACTTGAAGGACACTTCTCCCCTTCTAAACCCTTCTATGGGTTTAATCTAATTCCAATCATGATGTCATGAGGAATTGGAAGAGCACAGACGGGCAGGAAGGGATGATGCATTCAGATAGGGCAGCTTGGGGCTGTTTGCCATCCTGTTTGGAAACAGAACGCAAACAGAAACATACCTGGAGATCCAGTCACCCTAAATGCTCTGCTCTGGAAAACCCACAGCTCTGGCTTAGAAGGAGGATGGCAGGGCAGAGAGAAAACTTTTGGGGGCAGGAAGAGGCAAGCATTGTATTTAGCCATAGCTTTGGCACCTTATGATGGAGAAACATTGCCAGATTTTCAGATGATGATGAGATGAGATGGGGTTGTAAGCATCCCCTAGGAGCACACAGCTTATAGGAGGCCCCAAGAAGGCAACAGCCTGAGGTGCAACCATCCAGGCCTCTTGCAGCATGGCTTCATTTCCAAGAGCGTGGCTGGAGAAGAAGCAGGACACCTTCAGTAGCGTCTTGGTGGAGCAACAAGTGGCCAGAGACCAGAGAAAGAGAAATCAACCCCTCAAACAACCACCCCGCATCTGCTGAGGGCTGGCTAATGAGTACAAATGGCTAACGAGCCCAAACAGCCGCCTCATGCCCCAACAAGGCGGGGGGGGGGGGAATCTTTAGCATTTCACACATCCCTGTGACGTTGAATGATGGCCTCCCAAACACTGCTCAGGCAGCCCCTGGTCCCACGGCAAACGGCACGGAGATGAATGACCGCCGAGGGGATGTGGCAACGCAGTCATTTTTCATCTGCAGCACTGCTTAACCTTTCGTGGGCAAATCCCATTTCCCCGACGCTGGCTGGGCGCCGTACCTGCATTAAGTATTGCCGGGTCAGGGAGGGGCAGCTGTGATTTATGCCCTCTCCCCGCTAATCGGATTGCGGGGCAGGCAGATATTGATGGGTGCCTGCCTTTGATCCATGGCTCTCGTGAGCCTTCATTCAATTACTGCCCCGCAGAATGCAATTAGCAGGGCCGCAAAGCCACGTGGGGCTCATAATCACAGCACGCAGCAAAGATGAAGGGGCTGTCACCAGCTGCTGGATCCCACCTGGGGGTCGGACATGCTGCCACACATCAAGACAAAACACTGGGGAAGCATGGAGGAAGGATGAAGAAAAGCCCTGCTTCCTCCCAACAGTCCCATCCTATTTCTTCCCTCCCCGCACTCTTACCTTCCTTACCATCTATCTTGCACCTTTCTTGTCACTGTGACTCCCAAGCCAGGGTACCCCCCACATGACCCACTTTTACCTTCCAAATCCAATGCATCCTCCTCCCATATCTTCCCATTTGCTCCTCTTGGAGTTCACCCATTCCTCACACCAGCTGCTCTCACACCCACTCCAAACACAGGCCACACTATCACCACCCCCTTCTCCCTTCTCACATTTCTTTTATCTGCTCCAACAGCCTCCACCTGAGCTCTCCAGGTGTGTGATGACAGCAGTTTCTACCAGATTTCACCTTCCATTTTTGCTCTGAACTCTTCAGTCCTGCAAACTTTAAATCCTTGGAGAGCAGCCCTTCTGGCTCAGCATCCTTCCGCCTATCTTGCTCTTATGGGTAAGAAGTCTCATAAAGTTGGCCATATTCTCTCATCCATCCAAAAATGCCCAGCCTGCCCAAAATGTGTTGTTTCACACCAGAAGAAATTCAGCAGAACACCATCAGCACCCAACAGGGATCGTGGTGGTGTCAGCTGGGAAGAGCTGAACAATCCCACTGAGCAGCGTGAAGGCAGGAGGATGAGATGGGTGCAAAGCACTTGGTCCTGCACCGAGACAAGAGCCTTCAGTTTAAAATGATCAACTGGAAGGAGTGGTTGGGCACTGGCACTGGCTGCCCTGGTGGTGGAATCACCATCCCTGGAGGTGTTCAAGGACCATGGAGATGTGGCACCTGGGGTTATGATTTAGTGGGCATGGTGGGATTTGCTGGGGTTGGGTTTGGAGATCTTAGAGGTCTTTTCTAAAACGAGTGTCCAGCCATTAAACCCATCACCACCATGCTCACTAAACCACGTCTCTCAGTGCCAGGAGTTGAAGAGCTGATACAAAAGGAAGAAATTGGCTACCAACAGCAGCAGGATGCAGGATAGAGACCTCTAAGCACCTGAAAAGTGAGATGCTGGATGGCCTCCAAATAGGTGTCCTGGGACAAAAACTCCTCATTCATTAACGTGGAGATTTAAACCTGCATGGTATCAATTTAACAGCACAGGACCTGATGTGATCAATCTAAGCTTCGAGAAGCAGACACTCAGAAGAGGTTTTGAGGTCTGATGGGAGCCCAGGTGTTTTGGGCAGTGTTCCCAACACGTGACCTGCATCTGGTGAGATGGGGAATTCAGGGCCACCCCTACCTGGTCCCACATTGACCTGGGGCTTGGCTGTGAAGCATTTGGCTCCTTAGCAGCCTCCAGCCTCTGCTCAGAGTTCACTTATCATCCAACAAGGTTTTCTTTCCTGTTGCCTTTTGTTGGAGTTCTCTGAAGAGCTGATTCCCAAATCCACAAGCAACCACAAGCAGGGAGGTTTTGTTACTCCTTATTTTGCATCAAGGCAGGCGAGACAAACACTTTTCAGCAGATATTTCTGCGCTCTTGTTTCCTCTTGTCTCTGTCCCTTCTTGCCTTCACCTCGGTTTACCTCTTCACCTCCTTCCTTGATGAGGTTGGCTGAGGTTGCAGGAAAGCAAGGTTGTCAGATAAGCCTGTCTCCATCCAGTCATGGGATTTTCCTTTTCCAGGCAGTCCCAGGATGAGGCAGAACACAGACTGAATGAGTTGGACTCCATCATCCTTATGGGTCCTTTTCAGCTTGGGATATTCTATGATGCCTGCACCAAGCTGTGGGCTTGCTGTCTCACCGTGGCCAACTACACCAAAGGTTGATGCAAAGAGGAGAGAGGCAGTGAGAGAGAACACAGCAGGGCACAAATGGGTGCTCAGGTTGGGAGGTGGTGTTGGGAGGGTGGTGCAGCTCTGGGACAGGCAACCAGCAAGGTAAGAGATGTCCATCCATGAAGGTTTCCAAGACTTGGTCACATAAAGCCCTGGCTATCCTGCTCTAGCGACAGTCCTGCTTTAAGCAGAAATCCCTTTGTATTGGAGAAGGCAAGAGCACCAGAATTGAAAGGTCCAAATATGTTAAAGGTGTGCAGACCCCATGAAGCAATGGTGATGGCGACAGCCCAACCTGACATGGTGCTTTTACAAGAAAAGCAAAGCACTGAGCCACTGCTGGAGACGTTAAATCCCAGTTACAGAAGTACAGCATCCCAAAGATGTCAAACTGAGAAACACCATTCTCTAATTTTAAGAGATGCTTACCAGGACTTCGCATTGAACCCGCCATTGGATTGGAACCTCCTTCCAGAAAGGAGCCCCCTAAATCCTCTCCTCCTGCATCATTCTCCTGGGTCCTTCCTGTGTTCCTCCCCATTGCCTGCAGTGGGGCAGGTGTGCAGTGTCACCCAGCACATGGAGATGCCCTATGGAAGCTGTCTCCGTGCTGAGATTTCCCAGCTTGCTGGTTTTTAATTAGAGCATGTCACGTTGATTTGGTATCACTTTAATTTCCAATGTGCCGTGGGGTCAAACATCTTGCACATCCCAGTGCCGAGGCTGGGAGTTACGTGAGGAATCTAATATCTTAATGTGGTTAGGGCCAGAAAAAAACCAAAAACCACTAATATAATCATCATATTGCAAAGGATGATAAATACCATCTTAGAAAATATGCAATGTGAGCAGGCAAAAAGGTTCCCCGTGGAAAGCTAATGCAATCCCCTCTGCCTTGATGAAGTGCCTATTATCTTTGCTCTGCCCTCCAAATCTTAATTCCTGCTCAGGATTACTTCCCCCATATTTGCAGACATAGATGCGATCAATGAGAGCAAAATGCACGTTCCTTGAAGGTGGCTACTCAACACTTGGGTGTAATCATGCTTGTTTATGCAGGAAACCAATTAAAATAGCCACAGAATTAGGCAAAGATTGGCTTTAGCCCCCAGCATGCCAATGTGATGTGGAGTGTGGGACTCAGTGGGGTGGTTTTCCCAGGGCAGACCATACAAACAGGCAGCAAACCTCCTCCAGGTGCACAAAGGGATGCTGAATTACACAATATGGGATTTTTTTGCTGCAAGAGATGAAGGCAAAGGCAGCGCCTCTGCAGCAGTAACACAGCCACGTAAGCACAGGCACTTATTTAAACAGTTATATGCTGTATTGTTTAATGGAAGTTACAATAGGATAAATGTACAGTTGAAGTCAACATGCTAATTTCTAACGCAATTTAACCTGTAAACCATGCAGTTCGTTTCTCAATCGGTCAGTTTTTCTTTGTTTGTAATCAGTAGCTCTGCTAGTGAGTTTTAAGGAAAAAAACAAAAAAAAGTTCCCTTTAAAGTTAAACCTAATTTACTAATTTTTCCCCTTATTGTGCAACAACTTGTGCAAAAAAAGCTGTCTTCACCACATCATTAGTTTACAAAATCACGCTCCTCCCCCTCAAAAAGGCAACAACACAAGCAGCCAGTAGGCACTGAGGGATGGGATGGAGACTGGAGTTGGGATAGGGGTGGGGTTGGAGATGGGAACTGGGATGGAGATGGGAGTTGGGGTTGGGATTGGGACGGAGATTGGTGTTGAGGTTGGGATGGTGGTGGGGGTTGGGATTGGGATGGTGATGGGGATTGGGATGGCAGTGGGGATTGGAGTTGGTGCTGGGATGATGATGGGTGTTGGGATGGTGGTGGTGGGGACGGTTGTTGGGATGAGGATGGGGATTGGGGTTGGAATTGGGGTGGCAATGCAAGTTGGAATCACAATGGGGATTGGGGTTGGCATTGGGATGACGATGGGGATTGTTTTTTGGGATTGGGATGGTGATGGGGATTGGGATGGTGATGCGGATTGGGAAGGTGATGGGGATTGGGATGGTGATGGGGATTGGGATGGTGATGGGGATTGGGAAGGTGATGGGGATTGGGATGGCGATGGGGATTGGGAAGGTGATGGGGATTGGGATGGCGATGGGGATTGGGATGGTGATGGGGATTGGGATGGTGATGGGGATTGGGATGGTGATGGGGATTGGGAAGGTGATGGGGATTGGGATAGTGATGGAGATTGGGATGGTGATGGGGATTGGGATGGTGATGGGGATTGGGATGGTGATGGGGATTGGGAAGGTGATGGGGATTGGGATGGCGATGGGGATTGGGAAGGTGATGGGGATTGGGATAGTGATGGAGATTGGGATGGTGATGGGGATTGGGATGGTGATGGGGTATGGGGTTGGTGTTGGGACTGGGATGGTGCTGGGGACTGTGGTTGGGATAAGGATGGGGATTTGGATGGCAATGGGGACTGGGGATGCGATTGAGACAGCAGTGGGGATTGGGGTTGGGATTGTAATGGAGATTGGGATAGAGATGGAGGAGGGAGTGTTCAAAGCTGTTCCCTTTATGATTTGCTCTGCAGCTTGGTGCCTTAGAGGTGCCCCAAAAAACTATTCCAAGGAGGTTTTAAGGAAAATAAGAGAAGTGAATGTTTCTCAGGAAGGCAAGCTTTGTTTTTCTTTGTTTTTCTTCTTTTTTTTTTCTTCTTTTTTTTTTTTCTTTTCTAATCCAATGGTGCTGAATTGTTTGCCAAGCTACAGGGAGAGGGAGGCTCACCCACTCCTTACTACAGCCATTGCTTTAAAACCTAAGGAATGACCAACGTATGTACATGGATGTGTTAATAGCAGCATTATTTGTTCTGGGGATTGCAAACTGATGGTTACAGCAGCGGGTTCAGCTCCTACCTCCCCCCAGATCACAGATTTATAGCAACAACCTTTCCCTCATAAGCAATACCATCCGTATCAGAGGATACCAGTCATTAGTAAGCAATTTAGAGGGGACTTTAAACGTCTTCCAGGGATTTTTAAGCAGTCTGTTTAAAAGATTAATTTTATTTTGAAGGGATGGACGTGCATCTCTCGGAACAAAAAGTTAATTAGGACCAGAGCACCAAAATTCCATTTTTCATGCCCGTGATGTGACTTGTGGTTAGGTGCTTGACCTCCCAAAATCAGAAACTCCCTGAATCTGATGGGGCTGGGCTGAGCTTTCCCAGCAGCACATCCCAGTTGCCAGCCCCACTCCGTGGAGCAGAGCTCACCCTGAGCCACAGCCACTCTGGGATACTTAATGCAATACAGGAGCTGCTCCTTGGGGATAAAAAAAAAACCCCAGATTCCAAGCCAGGAGCAGGCTGCTTTCCCCAGCTCATGGGGGTGATGCTGCATGGTCCTGCTCTCTTCTCCCTGCTGGAGGAAAATCCTCAGTGTGCAAAAGGCACCTCCTCATCCAGCAGCGATGTCAGCGGCTGAGAAATGCTTTTAGAAATTGGGTTTGACAGTCTATCCTCCCACTAATAACAACTGGAAACACCAGAGTGCTCTATTTGTCATGCTTGCTGATGCTCTGTTATGCCGTTGCCAGCATCTGTAGCAGCGTGATTCTGAAGTGTTTTAAAGTGCTTGTGACTGGATGGCCCTTCACTGAGTGCCTCGTGCACTGAAACCTCCCTCCTCCTCCCGCCATTGGGTTTTTGCTTCAATCTCTGAGCTCTGCTGCTCAAAGGATGCTCAAAGCAGATGGTCCCACCTGCTTCTGCCACCACGTGTCCCCTGTCACCTATCCCTAGCTGGAGGGTCCCCTTGGGTGGATCACATCATATGGTCCCTTGCTGGCCACACAACTGTCATCCATCTGCTTCTTTTTTTTTCCATCCTTCTTGTATGTATTTCAAAGTATCCTTCAATCCTCTCAAAGAAAGGAGCCATAAAGCCAAGTTCCAGCTCTTCCCTGGTATTAATGGAAATAATGCACTGCTTGTGGTGGCTGGAGGTTGTGGTGATGGGACAAAGCCCCACGAGCTCATTGCTAGCAATGTGCCTATTTCAGGATTCATATACCCTTCCCAAAAGGGCTGAGGAACAAAGAAGGAAGGTGACATATCACTGCTTCGTGCATCCAGAGCTGGAGTGTGAATGGAGCCAAAAATACAAAGCCAGAAGTGCTCATGGGCAGAAAGCAAAGAGCCCAAATGCTCCCTTCTGCAGCCTCAGCTGGGTGACACATGGACAAATCCTGTCCCTGTGCAGCTCAGGACCCTGCAATGGGGAGCTGAAGGGGAACAGAGCCCCACCAGGGCTTCAGAACCACCCAGCAGCTTCCACAAGTGGTCTGAGAGCCAACGGCCCCACGCATTTGAATGGTGTTAGAAAGGGCCCTGCCATTCACAATAAGGGTTTTGAATTCCCTTGAGCACAGCGTCAGGATTTGGCAGTGGGGGAAGCGGCCGGATAAGCTTTCACCTGCGGTAAGGAGAGTCAAAAGGGGAATGAAAAGATAAGGGCAAAAGTCCCTTCTCTCTGTAACCTGAAGCCCGGGATTAACATCCTGTTGATAGCTGACGTGGTCCTCAAAGACTGCCTTGATTTTGGCTGATGATGCACGGGTAGCTCCAGAGCACAGAGCAGAGCGGAGCTCTGTCATTCAGAGCCAGGCTGCTGGTGCACAATGCTACTCCAGGGGGAACCTCCTGCACCCCACGTTTGGGGGACGTCCCCATGTTGGAGGGATGTGCTGGAGGCACAGGGATGTGGCACCATGGCAGCAGGAAGGGAGGATGGGAGAGTAGAACTGCAAGTCAGCATGGAAAGGAAAAGCAAAGCAGTGTTGTACACTTCTTTCCTAGCACCCAGCCCATACTGGCCCCATAAGGCACCCCAGCTTCTCCTATGCAACGAGGCAGCTCTTGAAGGCCTTTTATACCCAGTGCAGGGCCTCAAGACACCACCAGGTCCCAGAAGAAAAGCTTGGGGTGCATCAGCTCTGAGCAGTGCCACCACACACACCAAAGGGTCACAGCTCCCAGGAGCCACCTCCGAACCAGGGTGGGAATCAGCCCTTATGGGAAAAGGGCAGAGGGGCTGAGAAATCACTGCTTCTCCTCCTACACAAACCCAACATGCAAGCTAAGGAGCGACCCTCCTTCTGAATGCGTGCTCTTTTGAGCAGAGCCAATGAGAAGAACCTGAAACCACAGCTCCTCCCTATGCTTCTCGTGATCCCTTGTTCTTCTGCAGCTGAATAACTTAACAAAAGGAAGTCAAACCAATTCTTTGAATTTGGCTTACAAAAAAAAAAAGAAATGAAAAAATTAAAAACCAGAAACCCAACCCAACCACACGCACACAAAAAACACCCAACCAACCCATCATCTGGGTGTGAACTTCTCGCTCAGGCTTCAGGTTTTCCCGTTGCTTTTGCAAACCCCTGAAAATAGGAGTTCAGAATGGTGACTGCTGACACCACCTCCTCTCCACCAGCAGCGTGCCACCTACCTGCCCCGGGATTATTTAACAACGTTTTGTCATAACAGTGGGTTTCATCCATACTATACAGGCGAATACAAAAATACATCTGTTCTCTTTGAACAAGGATCCCAAGTCCAGGCGTGGGGAAGGCTGTGGGTCCCTCATGAGTGATGGCTGTTGATGAGGCCGCGGAGCTGCTTGGCCACTGTGTCTATCAGCTTCTGCTTGTCCCGCTCGTTCTTCCGAAACTGGGCAAAAACGTTGTTCTTCCGGCTCGTGTCCCTCATCCTGAGCAGAGAACACAGAGGTTACATTACATGCAGCGATGCTATGGGTGCACCAAGAGAAGCTCGTGGCTGGTAGAGCAAAGAGGAGATGGGCTGTAGATCTGTAAATCTGTAGATCTACAGACCATCGCCTTGGGTCTAGCCCCAAGCTTTATCCACCCCAAGGGCCCAACCCCAGCTCGTGTCACCTGCCTCAAAGCCAAGGCACTGCACCAATCCTGAGCCCCTCACGCCTCTCATCCTCCCCTTCATAAAATCAGGTTTGAGTTGGAAGGGACCCTTAAAGGCCATCTGGTCCAACTCCCTTCCAATGAATGGGGACACCTACAGCTCCACCAGATGCTCCGAGCTCCATCCAGAATGTTTTTACATGTTCCAGTGTCCGTACGTGGTAAATGAGAGTGCTGTAATATTAGGAGGGTCGGGAAATTAAATAATTAGCACAAAATCCACAGCGTTAATGGTTCTTTTTGACATGGAGCATTGCATGCGGCCAAGAGATGCAGCTTTTGGGGCAGCCGTAAAGTTTCGGACTCGTGGACTTAACTTTACACGATGCTCAAGGAAAGAATCCAACATTACTTCCTCCAGTTTACAAACCCCAGGGAGATTTGTATTTCTTTCAATTGCATCAGTCTCCATGAGGTCCTTAAGCTCAGGGCCAACAAGGCACAGTGCTGGGACAGGACCAGAGTAACACAGAACAACAGGGGTTGGAAGGGACCTCAGGGGATCATCATGTCCAACTCCCAACACCAGGGCAGCTCCATTCCTCTCTGGCATGCAAAGCTTGGCATTCATGCACATTTGCATTTGCAGATGCATTTTGGGGGGCCAACATCTCATTGCATGGCTCAAGCAGGGCGTTGCTGGGGAGTGGAACCACCCCATAAGGGTCAACATCAGTAGAGCCTAAAGGCATTGGGCTCCAAGCACCCAGCCTGCTGGGCACTGCTCTCCATAATACCCTAATTTGTAACTGGTTTTCCTAGTAAATCAGATCTGGCAGAGGCAGATGGCTTTGGATGAGCCACATTGGCCTGTGTTTTTGGCTCTGGGTACCTCAATGAAGCATAGAGTGACGGGGACACAGAGATGATGGGCCCTGTAAGCACAGCAGTTTATCAGATCAGAAGGGTTTTGCGTTATCAGAGCACAAAACAAACTTCTTCAAGCTCATTTAACCTATTAAAAAAAAATATCTACAATTTTCCGTGCTTCAGTCTTCATAAAAAGGAGCCAAAGGGAATCTGAAATGTTCCAAAAACCATCCAGCTTGGAACTGAAAACATGATAACAACCTCATCCCAAAGGCTAATTTGCTATAGTTATAAGTGCCCAAAGGCACAGGATTATAACCGAGCTGCTTTCCCAACAGTAACCAGATAGCTTGGAGCAATTTCATTCAGCAAAATAAGCTGGTGTTTTTTTGTTGTTTTTTTTTTTGTTTTTTTTTTTTTTCTTCTTTTCTCTTCATGTAATTGTTTTTTTTTTTAAACTGAAGCAGGTTGCCAGCTGCTCCCCTGCAAGAACCAGACAGAAAGAGGGGATTTTTGAGTCATACAGATTACAGGTGCTGCGGCATTGGGAATTTTGGCAACCACCACCCTGCTGCAGGACATCACCCCTCCCTCAAACACCTTCCCACAGAGCTGAGAGCTCTCCATCTCCATCTCACAGGCTGTGCAGGGACATCAGATGTGCTGGAAGCAAACCTGCACCTTGAGAAACCTCCACCTGTGGCCACCCCATGGGCAAAAAAGCATTGAGTTTCTTCTGCCCGGTGATACCCGTAAGTTAAGGAAGGCCTGGCATCCTCTGCCTTAGCAGCCCCAAAATCTCACAGAAGATGCTCAGGTGCAGATTTATTTCCATGAGATGTTTCTCAAGAACTGCACGTTTTATGCAAGAAAATCTTGGGGTGTACTGAATGATTGGGAAGGAGTTGCAAGGAGAAAGCTGTGGGGTCGAGGTGACCAAGCACTGCTGGCAATGCACTGAACCCATCCCAAATGGGATGAGACAGGAGCTGCTGGTATCTCTCATGTGGATTTGGAGGCGCCATGCTGCTACCAGCCCCACTTCCAATGAGGAACATGCCTGCAGAACACAAAGTCCTGCAACAACTACGGGTGCGTGCTTCCCCACTGTGTGCAATGGGCATTTCCCACCTACACCCAACTGTCATTCAAGGTGAGAAGGATCTTTTCTATAGAGAAAAGGGTTACAAAACTGCTGGGTGCCAACCAGCTGCATTAGTGTTGCTGTCAGGGAGCAGGGCTGGGACGCAGCGTGTTTACTCAGGGCTCATGCTGCTCGTAGAGCAAGAGCAAGCCTGTGCCCGTGTGTGCCTGCAGGGATGGAGCGGGGTCCAAAGGGTTTCTCCAAAGGGTGATGGTGTCAGTATGAGGGACTCCCAGCAGGTGATTGGGTTGGGAGGGCAGTTTGGAGGCACGAGGCCGTGGATGGAGAAACAGCCTTAAAAAAAGCCAGGTTTATCATAGACTCGTAGGATTATAGGATGGCGAAGGCTGGAAGGGACGTCGAAGATCATCTGGTTCCAACCTCCTGCCATAAGCAGGGTTGCCAACCTCCAGATCAGGCCGCCCATCCAACGTGGCCTTCAACACCTCAAGGGATGGGGCTTCCACAACCTTTGTGGGCCATGTGCCCCAGTGCCTCACCACCATCATGGGGGTCAACACTGGGGTGCCATGTGCCAGCCCCATTCTTTTCCAGCCTTGGGCTACAAGAGCTGGACGACGTGGTTCTAGATAGAGCTATGCATCCTAACACCAAGAACAGGCTGGAAATAGAGGCAGATCTTTAGGGGTTCCACACTATTGTGCCTGCAGAGCCTCAGGATAGCTGAGGCTGGTTGTGTAATGCGGTCCCTCTGTGCTGGCCCGGGAATTAAAAGTAAGAGGAAGGGAAGGAGAGAGCTCAATGCTGTCCCCACCCCTGTCAACAAACACCGCCTTAAATAGAGCCAAGCTTTGTTTAAATTAATCTATAAGAGAAAAAAAAAAAAAAGAAGAAGAAAAAAAAAAAAAGCGAGGCAGTAAAAGCTCCTCTTTTAGTTCTAATTAGTGCATTTGAGACGATAGAGTTACCAGAGGGAACTGTTTCAAAGGCAGCTTGCATTTAGATCATTTAGTGCTCCATTTAAATCAAACAATAAAGTCACTGCAAGGTGAGGGTAAAAGCCCAAGCAAGCAGCATACTTACACTCGTGATATCCTATGGGAGATGTGTGATTAGGAAAAGAGATAATCATGAGAACAAGTTACACAACCCGGCTGCTTCGTGTCCAACCGTTCAGCTTTCTTTTTTTTTTTTCCACTTTATGGATAGCTCTGAATATACTGCACACTTTTGCACCATGGATGGAGGGCTGCAAATATACTGCAGATGATGCAACGTATTGCACGATGCACATATAAAATATGGCTATGGTGTATAAAAGCGTTTTGCACTGACACAGTGCTCCACTGCAGACCCTGGGTGCAGACTGACAGCCTTTGGATGTTGTGGGTTGATGTGAAATGAGCCAGGGAAGGGAGGAGGTGCAGTTGAGTGGACTGCAGACAGCACAGACCCACATCCAAAGCCTCAAAGCACACCCAGTTTATGCTTCTAAAGGCTTCACCCCAACATCAAATTGGGCATCTTCTACTCTACGTGCAACAGAAGCGAGAGGTACTCTGAAAAACAATTCAAATTCTACCCAAGGATCTGATTTCACGTTAAACCAAACCAAAACCCAACCACCAGCTCACTCATCCTGCCCACTCCTCCACGCCAGACCCAGCCATGGAGTGGCCACAGAATGAGGAAATCAGGAATTATTCTTCTGGGCTTGTTACTTTGCTGGTGAGGTGTGATGGAAGCAAAGAGGGCAGAGCAGGGCTGATCCTCCTGGTGAGGATGAGTGACCTGGTGAGGAAGAGTGACTTGGTGGCACTTGTCTCTGACACCAGGTACGTGCTGGAGGGGTTCCCAGGGCAGTGAACCCCACTATTTGGGACTGAAGCCAACATGCTGCTTCCATGCCCAAGTTCACCATGTGGGTTGGGATTTTCCAAGTCTGGAATTATTAACTGTGAGCTGCTCACAGCGTGGACTGGGCTCAGAGGACTGCCAAACCCTCTTTGTGCTCCAGGGTGCATCTCACCTCTCCACAGAGGACACATGGAGATGACCATTGGGGTCAGCTGCTCCTCAGCACAGCTCCAGGGTTGGCTTGCACATTACCTCCTGGGGCAAGTGCAGGCTTCAATGAAACTGAGATTCACCCTTAGCAGAGAACATGGGTCCTGTCCTCTCTAAGAGCCTTGGAGCCACCTAAAGATATCCCTTCTGTCCCATAGCTGGGATTTTAGTGTACGACCCTCTTGATGGAACCAGAAAACAGAGCTATAAGTGCCTGCAGGCTGGCCATTTTCATATGATTTTGGGGGCTAGCTTGAGATGCTAGTGGAAGTCTGTCACAGAACGAGGAAAATCCTGCTTAAGAATGAAGCAAAAAATAGAAGTCCTTAACCAAATCAATGCCTCTTGATACAAAAACTGGAGCTTAGTGGGATAAAGAAGGACTTTGTCAGCACTCCCACTGCTCTGAAACCTTCATCTGGGGCTGAAGTGTCGGGGTGCCCCTTGCTGCACTCACTTCTCCAGCAGGACGAGGGCTGTGGTGGGGTTCACCCGGAGGTACTTGCAGGTGGGTTGCCCGTAGTCAGCCAGGTACGTCGACCAGTCCCACTGGATGAACAGATCCAGGAGCTGCAGGGAAGAAAAACAAACAAAAATGAGGTGGTGAGCAAGCAGGTGGCTTATCTGAATCATGGCAAAGGTCCTGAGCAGGTGGTGTTAATCAGAAAAGCCATGTTTTGCAGTCTTAACCTCCTTGAGCCATACTGCATGCCTGATGTGCTACCCTGCTGGAGGGTATGAAGACTGAGGCACCCCAAGAAAGTTGTGGGCAGAACCTGAAAAGAGATGCAATGCTTCACCTCAGTGGGATTTGTGATTTCCAAGGCAGCAGACCTAAGGGAGAGCTCCCACACACCCCACACCGCAGCGGGCTCCCTTCTTTCCTGATCCATGACAACTTCCCATCCAATATGGCTCGGGATGTTGGGCCTTGTGGGAAGACACCAGCACATCTGGTGCTGCCATGGTGGTGGGGATGGGTTGGTGGTCGGATAGATGATCTTAGAGGTGTTTTCCAACTTAAAGACAGAATCAAAGAATAGAATAACAGAACCACCAAGGTTGGAAACAACCTCCAAGATCATCCAGTCCAACCCACCACCAACACAACCCCACTAAACCATGTCCCTTAGTATACCAGGGGTGGTACTCGAGATACAGGAAGAGAATGAACTGAGACATTTACCTATGATGTTTCCTACTTCTCAGCAGACAGTGGAAGTCCCAGCTTTCTTAAGAAACAGTTTTCAAAAACCTTGGTGCAGATGTGCTTAAATCTGCTTTTTAAGGTTGTAACAGGGTCTGCTGCGATAGGATAAGGGGAAACGGTTTCAAACATGAAGACGGGAGATTTAGATTGCACATGAGAAAGAAGTGTTTTACAATAAGGGCAGTGAGACACTGGAAGGTGTCCCAGAGAGGTGGTGGTGCCCCAAATTCCTCAAGATCAGGTTGCATGAGCACCTGATGGAGCTGTAGGTGTCCCAGATCACTGCAGGGAGTGGGACCAGATGGCCTTCGAGGGTCCTTTTCAACCCAAACCGTTGTATGAGCCTATGGTTCTACAACAGTGCCTGTGTTTTTGCATAATCATCACAGAATGGCCTGGGTTGAAAAGGACCAGGATGATCATCCAGTTCCAACCCCCTGCTATGTGCAGGGACCAGACCAGGCTGCCCAGAGCCACATCCAGCCTGGCCTTGAATGCCTGCAGGGCTGGGGCATCCAACAGCCTCCTTGGGCAACCGGTTCCAGTGCTTCACCACCCTCTGTGGGAAAAACTTCCTCCTCATATCCAACCTCAACCTCCCCTGTCTCAGTTTGAAGCCGTTCCCCCTTATCCTATCGCTATCCACCCTCATCAACAGCCGTTCCCATTCCCGTTTATGTGCCCCCTTCAAGTATTGGAAGGCCTTGGAGGGGAACGCACGGCTCATGACAAGCAGCCACGGTTCCCCCTGTCCCTGTGACCGCTCTATTGTGGCTCAGGGCTGCCAAGTGCCGACGTCTTCATCGGCAGCAGCCGAGCGTCCCGGCGCCCGCCCCATAAGGAAGGGCCCCATGGTATTGTCTGCCCGTGGCCGTCCCCAGGCGAAGCGAGGGCCATAGAGGCCTCATTGTGCCCCCGCGTCTCCATGGTTTTCCTGAAGGCTCAGGCGCTGTTTAACAACACAACCCGCCCGGCAAAGAACGGGGATTTGGCTCCTCGAAGACCTCAAGGTACAAAACAAAAATGTGCAACAAGATTCTTTTTGACTATGTAGGTCAGGGCAAAGAAAAGAAGCTGTCGGGAACAATCCCCAGCGCTGGCGGGGGGGACGGATTAGCCGGGACCTTGGAGGGCTCTTCCAGCCCAAGGTTTTGTGCTGCAGGTCGGCTACAAACCAGGGCTGCACATTGTTGGGAGTCTTTTTATCCAAAGGGCGCCCTAAAGCTGCAGCCCAGAGTATGATTTCATGTGCTCCTTCCACCCCACAGTGCTTCCAGCAGGTCTGTCCTGCACTGGGAATGGGTGTAGGATGCCCTGTAGGGCAATAAAAAAGGGGTAGAAATAAGAAGGCGAAGGTTAGAAGTGGGTTAAGGAGAAAAAAGCACGAGGGGCTGTGATTAACAGCATGCAAAGGTGCTGGTGAGGCTGCAACTCAAGTGCTGTATTCAGTTTTGGGCACTTCACTACAACAGAGGTATCAAGGTACTGGAGTGTGTCCAGAGAAGGGCAGCAGAGCTGCGAGGGATCTGGAGCACAGATCTTATGGGTAGAGGCTGAGGGAATGAGATGGGACAGTCTGGAGAAGAGGAGGCTCAGGAGAGACCGCATGGCTCTGTAACTGCCTGAAGGAAGATGGAGCGAGGTGGGGGTTGGCCTCTGCTCCCAGGTAACAACAGGACAAGAGGTGATGGCCAGGGGAGGGTCAGGTTGGGTATTAGGAGACATTTCTTCTCCAAAAGAGCTGTCAGGCATTGGCACAGACTGCAAAGGAAGGTGGTGGGGTCACCATCTCTGGAGGTGCCCAAGAACCATGGAGATGTGGCACTGAGGGCCATGGTCAGTAAGCATGATGGGATGGGTTGGGGTTTGGGCTTGGGGATATTAGAGCTCTTTTCCAATCTGAATGATTCTATGACTGTAAATAAGCACCATCCTAAACACAAACCTGCCCAGGCTGGACCTTGGAAGGGCACAAGCAGCACTGAGGGTGCCTGAGGCTGAGCACAGTGGGCACTGCAGGGCTCAACCACAGGCACAGGTCGGAGCCAGGGGAGAAAGGTGCTGCAAGAGGGAGCTGTCTCTGGACGATTTATCTGTCACATAAATGTGGTTTTATTGCTTTTACTGTTTAAACTTTTCACCTCTGCTGCTAAATCTGAATGACACCAGGAAAAAAAAAAAGAAATAAGGAAAGGAGAAGAGCGTCTGCACGGCGGCGCTGGGCAGCTCCACGGCTGCAGCCGCCTTCCAGGGGAGATTCCAAATAAAATATGCAAATACCATTAATTCTTCAAACCAGAGTCTGCTTTTCAAGGCTATAAATCAAAGCTGACAGGGCGCACACTGGAGGAAAGGAAAAGAAGAGGGGGGGAAAAGAAAAGGGAGCTTTTACTGCGGTGATAGGGAAATGCAATAAGTGCGTGCTCAGCTGCAAGCCTGCAGCTGCAAAGAGTGCACATAGGAGAGCTGTCTGTGCTCAAGTTGTGTGTTTGCACGAATGCAGAAGTGGAGAATGGAAAGGTACAGGGAAAGGTACAGGAAAGCAGTCTGGTTTTATGCATTCACACACGTGTATATGTATATATATATATATATTTATATAAAACCCCAATGAACATGGCTGCACTGGGAATGGAAACTGCTGTCTGTGTCACCATGGGCTGTGCACAGACCTGGGAGGTGATGCATGGTGCCTAGAGCTGAAAACGGTGGCAGGAAAGGAAGATTCAAGGTGAAAAGTAATGCAGAGAATAGAGACTTATCCTATGGACAGTGGGAGAGTATCACAGGGCTGAGCTGACACAGGACCATTTGGCCCCAAGGACCTCTCCCCACCTCTTCCCTTGAAGACACAAAGGCCAGGAACCCCTGCAGGACAGATGATGCTTCCTGCATCCCTGACTTCAAGCAATACCTGGCTCTGCTAACTTTTTCCTCTTCAGAACTGATGACACAGTTATTTTCAATGCCTGCTGGGTGAGAGAGGCACATCCTGGTGTAAAAGTGCCATTGCTGCCTCTGCTCTTGTGGCTACATCTTCCTCTGTGTCTCAGCCCCTCTGCTTTTTAATATCCTGACTCCTTCAGGCTGAGTTCATGCTTAAACTGTTGGTATTTATGGAAATATATTTATAAAATAGCTGTTGCCAGAGGCAGGCTGGCACAAGACTCACAGCTAGGCAGCAACCAGATGGTGTAAGGGAAACCAACCCGATCCCGAAGACGAACTCTCCCCTTGTTTCAAGGTCTAAAGATGTCAGCTTGAAACCCTTCATCCAGTAAAAATACAACATCCTCCACACCACTATCTCCTCCCTTTTCATCCCCTGCAATATTTACTCTCGGCAACACCAGAGAGCATCAGGAAGGCTTGAATAGGGCTCTCCAGAGCATCTGCAGACCCACCACCAACAACGGATGAGAAGCATCATGTTGGCTCACGAGATGGGTGCAAAGCATGGTGCATTGCTACTGCTGTGTCTCCTGTAGAGCAACACCTGCCTGTAAAAACCCAAAGCATGGCAGGGGATGAAAAGGGGAAGACGACTCATGACCATTGGTGACCACTTCATAGAATCACAGAATCATTAAGGTTGGAAGAGATCGCCCAAGGAGGTTGTGGATGCCCCATCCCTGGAGGCATTCAAGGCTAGGCTAGACATGGCTCTGGGTCTGGTGACCCTGCACATAGCAGGGGGTTTGAAACTGGATGATCATTGTGGCCCTTTTTCAACCCAGGCCATTCTATGATTCTATAATCAAGCCCAACCATCAATCCATCCCCACCATCTCCACTAATCATGTCCTTACATGTTTATTGGATGCTGGTATCAGTTATAAAAGGCTCAGTTATCACGTTCTCTTCCTTTCCTAATAACCTCCAAGTCTGATGCTCTTCTCCCAGCATCACTGTGAGTAGAATGAATAGCCTTGACACAACGCATGTGGCAGGGGGGTTGGAGATTCAAGATCCTTGAGGTCCCTTCCAACCCTGGCCATTCTATGATTCTGTAACGCCTTCTATAAAGCAGCCATGCTTCAGCTGGCAAGAGATCACATCATTGCCTTATAATCCTGAATCTCTTCTTTAAAAAGTATATCTTGATGCCCTGACACCACAGCTCCATTGATGAAAGGTGACAGCAAGAGGCTTGGGTCCTACCAGCATCACAAATAAACCCGCTTGAATGAAGAGACAAGCTGCTCCCAGAGGGACCACAAAATACCCAGCTAAGAATATTGAATATTTCCATGAAAAGCAGAAGAAACCACTGGATCCAACCCAGTGCCAAGTCCCTGTTTGCCCATGCCCATGCACACAACCATCCCACGGCCCATCGCTCAGCCCCTGATGCCACCCA